GATTTGCACTTCATGTTGTGGGGGTGGAGTGGTAGCAGCCAGTGACTTGAGGATATGTGAACTCTTTAGGGGTAAGAATAGGTGACTGAGGGGAACCCCAACAACTGGTCTAGCCTCTTGATTCACATATCACCAAGTCGTGGGTGTTCCACTCCATCCTCATTCTATGTGGGTGATAATTCTGAAGCATTCCACGTGAGCTGACCTTTGTTTTATTCTTTCTGCAGCCAGGTTTCTGGGGTGAGATGTTATATCTCTCCGAGCAAGGTAACCCTGATCAATACTAACTTTTTACTTCTATTGAACCAATGGCTAGGCAGCAATCTGATGTCAAAGGGAAAAAGGAAGCTGTAAAGCGGGCTGCACATATGGCAGCTAGAGATGCTAAGTATAAACAGGAGAAGAAAAAGAGTTACATGACACAAATTGTGAAGCTGTGAGAATTCACACAAGAGAAACTGTCAGCTCTAGACTAAACATTAGAGGTGAACTATGCGTACAAAATGTATTTCTTAAAGTTTGAAAGGTGATTTCTAGACCAGTGAGGAATTAGTTTTCAATTCTTTGTAAGGTAAACTGCTTGAACCTACAATCGTTACTTGTAGTTGTCTACAGTGCGGAGGAAGAACCTCTGTCAGTGTATCAGTAAGTGCAGTCACTTATTAATCTGGCTAGGTAAACATGTACTAACATCTAAAATCTTTGAGTGACACTTTAGTGTTGGTTTGATAAGATAGAACCTTATCAAAAGAATATAAGGAACTTAAGGAGCTTCATTTGAATAACTTATGGTTAAACAATCTGTGGTATCCCAAGGGTAAAGAGCAAGATAACAAATGGAAGGAAAAGTGACTGTTTGATGACTGTGGTAAAGCTAAAGGAAATGACTACAAGTAGAGTTTTTTAAAGTATAACCAACAAGTTTTTGATCTGGGTAGATTTGTTCGGTTGATTCCATTTTTAACGTAAAAAGTAAAATGAAAATGGGTTAGAAGGTGATAAGTTATTCCGGTCAACCAGGCAAGCTGGCAAACACAAGTACAGAAGGAACGTCAGTAGGCAGAAATTTTTGTTTTTGCAATTAAACCTCAAGGTGAATGCTTGTCCTTGTCTGCTTCACAGGTACTTGTGCAGAGAATGAGGTGACAGATGATAGTGATGACAGCTGTAGCTTTTGATTTTCGCAGATTTTGTATGGTTGGCTTGGAAGCGATGGAAGCAATGATAGCAGTAGATTGAAATTGATGTGAATTTACAGTTACAGTTGACTTGTGGTAAAGAATCACTTTGGTGTTTGGTCGTTTTGCAAGTATGTGAATTTTGTAATGTTGAAACTTGATATTTGAAATTTTTGTGTATTTTTTGTGCCAAAGTGCCAACTCAGCGGTCAAATTTGAGGTTGTGGTTTGGAAACCGCTAAAAATTGGCAGAAAGTATGGTTTCATCCCAAATACGGGGGGTTCAGACCAGTATTTGAGTTGAATCTGGTGTTTAATCCAGTTTTGTCAGTTTCTGACCCGGGGATTCCAAAATTTTGATTTTTGAAATTTCAAGTTGTCACTTTGACACATGTCGCATTCCGTACAATGCTGTTGAATCAAGCGTTAGGCAGATCAATGAAGATTTTAACCGATGACAACTACATGTTGTGGGCTTCATTTATTAAAACTGGGTTGAAATCTTATTTTTTATCAGAGTATTTGATATCTGACAATATTAAATTGGAGAATAGTCAGTTTAGCGATGAAGTTAGTAGGACTTGTATCACTAATTGGATGTTAAATAATATGGATGATGTCAACCGTTCTAGATTTGAGCCAAAAATCACCGTATACAATGATGATGGACCTGATACTCAGAATTTACCTTTGAAATTATGGAAGGCTATCACCGATCACCACTCATCTAGATCAGAAGAATTACGTTTATTATTAGAAAGAGCCCTGAATCTTATTGTTCAAGGCCCCAATGTTCCTCTTTTAACTCACATTCAACACTTTCAAAACGCTGTGACTAGATACAAAACTTCAGGAGGCCAAATGACAGATGAGGACCTAGGAAGAAAGTTGTTAATCTCTTTAAATAATAATCACTTCCAAGACGCACAGGAAATAGCTATCTCAGGTGTTAAAGAATATGATAAGGTGGTCTCTGAATTACAAAAGAGAATGGATGCTGTGTCCATGTTAACTCGAGGTTCATCAACTTTGAAATCTCCACCGGCAATTCATCACGCTGCTGAGGCAAGCTTCGCCTCGAACTCACTTTCTAGAGTTAAGCCAAGAGGAAAGTGTACCAAAACTAGATGCATGGGTGTTAATCACGACACCAATACTTGTTTTAAGAAACCCGGTAACGAACATCTACAGCGTGAGTGGATTGAGCAGCGGGTCAAGTTGGGTCAGTGGAACGGGGAACCACCTAGAGGTCTTGGTAACTCAACTTCGGCCTCGGCAACTGTATTACAGAGTGAACCCACTATTGAACAACTCGAAAATGCCTTTAATTCTCTTAATGCGTCTGCAAGTCACGTTTCCATCAAATCTTTTTCCAAATTGTCCATTAAAGACGAACCATCAGTTACGGAAGTCTTGATTGATACCGCTGCCTCTCATCACATGTTTAAAGAGAGGCATGTATTCTTTGATTATATTGCCATGGCTGATAGCACCGAGTCTTTGGACATGGCCGGAGGCAACGCGACTCTAGAGATACTTGGACGTGGGAACGTGAAATTCATTGGTCCTGATGGCCATGTCTTCGAGCTATTCGACTGCCTTTATATTCCCGATCTCAAACTAAGTTTGATCGGAGGAACGATTTTGCTTGAGAACGATTTCATCATCAAGAAAGAACATGACCTTTTCATCGTCACTAAGGATGGTAACTGAGCATTTGAAGGACGTTTGAATGATGGCACCAAGCTGTTGAAAACTGTTGTGAGGCCGGTTTCACCTGAAGTTGTTCATCCCGAGGCGAATCTCGCTATCTCTCAAACTAACAATGTCGCCATTAATTCACATTGTCGTTTAGGTCACCCAAACTTACGGTACCTGAAGTCGATGGTGGCTAAAGAAAGTGTTCTTGGGTTGAATATTGATTCTACTGTCATCCCTGATCATCTATCTTGTGATTCTTGTGACCTGGCAAAGGGTCACCGCATCCCTCACAATAAGCTTCACGTTAGGAGTCTAAACCTTCTAGAAAATGTTCACCTTGATCTCAGCGGCATCATCAGAACTCCTGCTATTTGTGGTAGCACTTATTTCATGTTATTTACAGATGATTATTCTCGTTATCGCCATGTTGTTGGTCTCCATTCCAAGTCAGCAGACGTTGTGTTTAACAAAATTCAGCAATACATCACTTTGGTTGAGCGACAATGCACTTCTAGAATTAAGTCTATCACTTTGGACAATGGTTACGAATTCATCAATAGCATTATGGTTCCCTATTGTAAAGAAGTGGGGATCTATCTGAGGACCACGGCTACCTACACTCCTGAAGAAAACGGGGTGGCTGAAAGGTCGAATAGGACAATCACCGAGCCGGCGAGAGCCATGATGATTGAAGCCAATCTCCCCATTAAGTTCTGGCTTTACGCTATTAGATCTGCCGTTTATCTGAAGAACAGGACAGTCACATCATCACTGCCAGCTGGGAAGACCCCTTTCAAGATGTGGCACAATCGTAAGCCTGATATTAACCACGTGAGGCCAATTGGCTGTCTTTCATACGTTCTGATTCGTAAAGCACTTCGACACGGAAAATTCGAGCAAGTTTCAAGACAAGCAATCTTACTGGGTCACACTGAACATAACCTGAACTATGAGGTTTTTGTCTTAGACACGAATGCTATTGTTCTTTCACATGATGTCATCTTCAAAGAATCAAATTTCCCTTTCAAGAGACTCAAACCACTTGATTTGTCTCAATTATCTTTCCATGTTGATGGAGATCAAACTTTACCGGATCCTTCCGTTCTTGCACCTCAGCTTGAGGCACAAGATGACGATGTCCTCTTTCCTGGTGGTGAAGGATTGCACCAGGAGGAACCACTTGAAAATCAACCCGTTGAAGATGAACATGATATTCAACCTCAAATTCACGCCTCTGATCCTATCATACGCCGATCTGAACGTGATAGAAGACCACCTGAGAGGTATAACCCATCTGCCAGTTTCGCCTACTGGGATGACGATGGCGCCTTTATCGATCTCCATGATTCATTTCCCTACGCCTTTGCTGTCGGTTCTGTCGTTTGTCTGATTCAGGAACCGCATAGCTTCAAATCAGCAATGAATAGTTCTGATAAAAAGGAATGGAAGGCGGTATGTGATAAGGAGATGAAGAATGTGTCTGATAAGAAAGTTTGGCGTCTCGTACCTCGACCTTTGGACAAGCCTGTTGTTGGGAGTAAATGGCATTTTAAAGTTAAACTAGCCAAGTTGAGCGGCGGGCGCCGCGCTCCATTAAGTTTCATTCTTGTAGGGTTGTTTGCGGGCAAATTTGCATTCTGTGCTAAATTTTCATTGCAATTTCAAACAGAGCAAATGATGTGTTATATACGCCACCTGCACTATCAACAATTTACAAAGTCCCAAGCATGAACTATGCGGTCCCCACGTGATGATGCTGTTTCTAATCCTCAACCAGTGAAAACATGGACTTTAGTAACCTAGGAAGCGCAACTCATTCGAAACCTTGCCCTTAAACCCTGTACAAAGTTGTGGTTTCATATCCCTGTGGTTCTTGAGTTCGCATAAAACTTGCAATACAAACCAAGCATCAAATTAGTTGGTTGGCTTTCCCCCTCGTTGCTCTATTTACATCGAGATGTGACTTACACAGATTTTCAAAGTCTAACACTTTTCCTTGATTTCCCAATCTCATTTACTCCTGTTCGCCACTTCAGATTCACGAATAACTTTTGAATTTGTGTCACTTTGGTGATGTTTAAGTTCGTCGATTTTTTGCTATCCCAACAAAAATTAAGAGCCTTACATTAACACCTCTGACCTCATGTTTAAGTTAGACTTTGTACTCACTAATATATCAGAATAATTTAGTCGTGCTTCAAAACTACAATTAATATGCCGAAGCTTCAGAAGCGCTACTAAAATCTCGTCCCCTAACAAATTGCTTTCCTCGGTTAAGAAGATAAATTGCTTTAAATTTTTCGGAAACTCGAGCCTATGATTTTCTTTGAGCATCCTCCGCCAATAATCGGCAGTCTCCGAGTAATAAGTAATATAAACTTCTACTTCTTGAAATATTCCCCATGTTAACCATAGCGGTTCCTCATGACGCGGGTTGATGAACATGTTCTTCAGAACCCGGAGCGTCGGAAATAAATGGTCTTGTAGTTCATACGGGATGTCATCTGGCATCATCGCAACAAAGATTGCCTCCAACGTCTCCTTCACCGCTAAAAGCATAGGTGTTTCGTCGTTTAAGTAGTCCGTTGGTACATACTCGAGCAGTCTGATTGAGCTGCCGTGACGATGACAAAAGTCAACCACCGCGTCGTGATTAAGTGCATGACAATCTACCCACAAATGGATTAGATGGCGTAATGCTCCTGAGTCCAGAGTCAAAGACGCTAACTTTGAGAATTTTAAAGACAGAGATTCTAAAGCTGTAGCAGCGTTCAACACCGTTATTAGAGACTCCGAATTGTTCATCTGGTCTTGACAGCTCGAACCTTGTATTATTAATACCTTCAAAGTCTTCACGTTACCGATCACATGTATGAAATCCTTGGAGAACCCGACACCATTGGTGAAACAAATTTTAAAATCTGTTAAGCTGGATCCGCACAAACTGACAATTTTTGCTGCATCTTTCATGCGGATGGAGTGCGTTGAGGAGTGTTGATGTTCGAAGTTCAGTTGCAAGAGATCCTCGTTAGTGACCTTTCCGACAAACGACACAGCCCAATTCTCAGGCAGATATAAAACCCCGTTTAACGAAAGCCGTCGCAAGTTGATTGTGTTTGACAGTTTTATGGTACTTGACAGTAATAAGTTAACATATTTCTTTGCCCGAGCAGATTTCAACTCCAATGCGTTCAAGACCAATGGCGGGATGATCATTGCCCACGACTTTCCTATCAATCGCAATCGGAGTAACTCTGTAATTGAGTTCGGATTTAGAAACTGACTGTCCGCACTATTATAATCATCAAGTGGTAGGAATTGAGCTGTTTTCCAGGCATATTTTATAATCAGCTCTACTACTTCGACTGGCAGATACGTAGGTTGTGCCATTATATTGGTTTGAATGTATTAATATTGATTTAAATGTATTAAGAAGTTTCAATGCAGGATATTGCCTTCTTGAGGTCAATTACGAGTAATAGTATTTGGTATTTGACATCGGTTGATACCAAAGGATATCGATGTCACTCCTGTAAATATTTGCTCATTTGACTGGCTCTTTACCAATAGTAACCTCTTATTGCACCCCGATTGCCGTCGCATCTGCAAATTCATGCCGAGTTTTTCATGCATGATTATCCAGTCAAGACCTAAATTTAATCATCTTCAAGTTACCCTCCCTTCCGAATTTCACGTCGCCCACATTACCTTTGAAAACCACTTGCTGTGAACGGCCTGTATTGGTATTCTTACTTCAAACCAATGTTACCGTAATTGACATCTGAATCCAAGGATTCATAGCAACTTCGGAAAAAAAGACACCGCCATCCGACTTGTTTGGCATGGCAGTATTGGAAACATTCCCAACTATGACTTTTGCATCGTCACTTGCAACTCACAATTTTGGCTGTCTTGCCATTTCAGCCGAAATCTGAATTGCTATGCATATGCAAATTTGAGGATATCAAATATAGTAAAATCGGTGAACGGTCGGGCATTTTGAGTTGCCGGCTGTCTACAATTCCCGCAGGGCATCAAGTTTACCTTTAGGTGAAATAATAACAAAAAACTTGTCTGATTCACATAGCATTAGCAGGAAACGAATTTTCGGTATTTCATTTGTAACTCATGATAGCTTCTCACTTTCATTGTTGTAAACCATTATTTGCAATGCTTTTGAATCAAACTACTAAAGAATACACACACTACCAAAATGCAGCGCTCGTCACGGCAAAAGTAAACCGTGGTATGATGGCCCTAGCATAACCATTCTGCCTGACTCTGAACGTCATATAGCCATTTGTACTGTCTAGTATTTTCATATTTCGTGGGCCACCATCTGAGCCAAATTTTTATTGTTCACGCCGTTGCAATTCGTTAGTTGCTTCTTATTCTTCCTCAGCTATATTCTGATAAAGGCATGACTTACATCGATCTCACACCTTTTTAAAGTGCAATAACTTGTCCAAGGCCGTCGTCATCCACTTCTTCTTGTGAGTCGCGCTCCAGTCCAGTCACTAATGTCTGACAGCAGGAATTTGACAAAGTGTTGTTAGTCTGAGTTGACACCGTAGGTAAGAAACTTTAGAATTACTCACGAGTAAATCACGATGAGTCAATCTAGTTGTGAAATGACAACTGATACCCTGCTTCCCAAACTCTCGCATCAATTCATCTCTTTTAATTATATACCCTTTCTCAACAACAAAAACGAAATGTAATAAATTGGCTGGCATAGGAAGTTTCGCAATCTCCTTCATTTCATTTCGCCAGTAAGCATTGCCTCTTCTATACGGTGTAATGAAGACTTCGACATTCTGAAATATAGTCCACTCCGCCCACTTGGGGTAGTCAAGTAGATGATTGACGTATTGACTTCTCAGGACACGCAGCTTTGGGAATTGCGTCATTCGGAGATTTCTAGGTACGTAACTTGGCAGCATATCCATAAACAATACTCTTAGGGTAAGTTTGAGTGCTAGGCATCGATCAGGACAATCGAATGCGAATCGTCGCCAAGAAAGCTATTTCTGACTTAATTTTCAGTTTGTCGTTATTAAATCATATTTCATCGCTCGTCGGTGTATACTCTAACACTTTGATTGATCTCCCTCGTGTTTCACAAAAGTCATTGATTGCATTTACGTTCATTAAGTGACTGCCGATCCAAAGATGCTCCAATTTTGCCAGAGCTCCCACCCTCAAATCCAACGAAGTTAAAGTAGCGAAATCGAGTGATAAAGACTCGAGGGCATCAGTACTATTTAGGACTTCAATCAGGGAGTTCGAGTCGTTATCAATGTTATGAAACTTATCACCATCAATGGACAAAGACTTTAAGTTCTTGATTTGGCCTATTGCAAAGATTAGCTCGCTCGAGAACCCGACCGAGTGAGTGAAGTTTATCTTTAGATCAGTCAAAGTACAACTGCACAAAGTGATTAAAGTGGCCGCATCCTCCATATTCGTAGACTTCGTTGAGTAGTGTTGATATTCTAAATCCAACTGTTTGAGCTTTGGATCTTTGATTCGATCATAGAAAGTTGAAATGCTTCGATGTGGATTGAGTATCTACACTAAAGAGCAAAGGGACGAAAACCTGGACAGACAGGTTATCTTATGAGCTCTAGGAGAACTCGACAAAGAAGTAGATGGCGGAAAGAGTTCGACGCCTTACCTGGACAGACAGGTTATCTTATGAGCTCTAGGAGAACTCGACAAAGAAGTAGATGGCGGAAAGAGTTCGACGCCTTACCTGCAATAAGGCAGGAAACAAAAAGAAAGAGAGTCTGAGTTGATCTCGTTCCTAACGGTCTATTTCAAGATAAAGCACTACTAAAGTAAGAGAAAAGAAAACTAAGTTTTACCTGGACAGACAGGTTATCTTATGAGCTCTAGGAGAACTCGACAAAGAAGTAGATGGCGGAAAGAGTTCGACGCCTTACCTGCAATAAGGCAGGAAACAAAAAGAAAGAGAGCTATCCTAGAGATATGAGTAATGCTCAGTAAAAAGAAAGATGAAGAGAAAAGAAACGCTTACTCTGAGTTGATCTCGTTCCTAACGGTGAGGAACAATCTCAGAGCTCGAGAGAGGCACAGTATATGAGTAAGAAAACAAATGTGAAAAATTCAGACAAAGCAACGAGACTAGACCAAAAAGGGAATGCCCACACGGGTGAACAGAAGACACAACATCATTCATCCCAGAAGGGATACATTAAACTACATCTAATCCTGTGACGCTCCTGAATACATTCCTTCTTTCCCAGTTGGATCATGACTACCTAACATCAAACACTACCTTAAATCCAAGCACAGTCTCGTAGCTTTCAGTACTGAGAGCTCACGCACGTACACAAGAGAGTGAGTTCGATATGGTGATGGACTTGAACACTTTTGTCCCTTTTTATCACAACACACCCCCTCAAGTTCATCACGAGATAGTCTTGAGACCCAGGAGTTTGCGAAGTTTGACAAATTGAGCTGATCCGAGAGGTTTGGTGAGTAGATCGGCCACCATAAGATGGGTGGGACAGTGCTGGATGGAAATTTTGCCTGATTTGACCACTTCACGTATCCAGTGGTAGTGGATCTCTATGTGTTTCGTCCTACCATGAAAGATTGTTTTGTTAGTGAGATGAATGGCTCCTTTGTTATCGCTCTCAAGTACTGTCGGGTTTGGATCTTCATAACCGAGCTTGGACATCATAGTACGAAGCCACACCAGTTCTTGGCCCGCTTCGGTGATCGCTCTGTACTCGGCTTCAGTCGATGATAGAGCCACCGTGGGTTGTAACCTACTGCGCCACGAAATGGCACCATTAGCCAACATGAACACATAGCCGGTGGTGGACCTGCGTGTGTCTTTGTCGCCGGCCCAATCGGCATCGCACATCGCCTGCGGACACAGTTCACTCTTCATGCCATGCAGGGTAGTCGTTCTGAGGTCGCGTGAATAGACAATTCCAACATTGACCGTGCCTTTGAGGTAGCGAAGTACGTGTCGAGCAGCATCCCAGTGTTGGAAGCCAGGCCAATCAAGGTGTTGAGACAGGGTTCCGACAGCGTGAGCCAGATCGGGGCGGGTGCATTGGGAAAGATACATGAGAGACCCAACTACACTTCGATATGGAAGATTTCTGCTCTTGAAGTCGTCAATTTCCTTTTGATCTGGTTTGTAAAGCTTGAGCGAGGATGGGAAGGGGGTACTTGCAGGCTTGAGATCGGTAGATTGGAAACGTTCAAGTATCTTGAGGGCGTAGTTCGTTTGACAGATTGAGTACATGAAGTCATTATTCCTCTTGATCTCAATACCTACCACAGTTGATGCGATGCCCAAGTCCTCCATTTCCCAACGAGCAGATATTTCGGTCTTGAAGGTGAGGATGTCATTTCCGGTGATGGCTAGATCATCGACATGGACATAGACGACTGTGAAGATCTCAGCTTGGCGGCGGATGTAGATACAGTGATCTACCTCGCATTGAATGAAACCAACACTGATAAGAAACTCCTCAACGTCATCTTGCCAGTACTTGGGCGCCTGCTTGAGACCATAGAGAGACTTGAGTAATCGACAAACTTTGCCTTCCTCACCGGGTTGTTTGAAGCCTTCCGGTTGTTCAACGTAGATAGTCTCAAAAAGATCACTGTTCAAGAACGCTGTGACTGCGTCCATCTGATGGACTTCCCAGCCAAAGATAGCAGCCAGAGCAATGACGATGCGAAGAGAGGACGGCTTTCCGGTGGGGGCAAAGGTCTCAAAGTAGTCTTCGCCCTCGACCTGGGTGTTGCCCATAGCCACAAATCGGGCCTTAAACTTGACCGGATTGGTGGGATCAGAGGTAGGCTTTTTTCGAAACAACCAGAGTCCCCGAATGACATTAGAGTCTGGAGGTCGTTCGACTAGAACCCAAACTCTTTTGTCGTGCATGGCTTTGATTTCTTTCTTACAGGCGGCTAACCAATTTTCTCCTTCAGGACCGTTGACTGCTTTGGAGTATGATCTAGGAACATCAGAGGATGGAGTGACTAGGAAGCAGTGCGGTAAGATGATGTCAAATAGGTGATTCTTTTCCCATGCCAAGTTCATAGACGATTCTTCGAGGTTTTCTCCGGTTGCTGAGGCTGAGTATTTGATTTGATCCTTGACCCTTCCTGACCGACGCAGAACTGGAGCAGGTTCGGATGACACATCAGGAACCGTGTCGATCTTGGTTGTATCCGGGACTGGATCAGAGAGAGTTTCTTCAGGGGAAACTTCCGGAACGGAGGGTACAGGTACTTGTTCTTCATCGTCCTCACTCTCCTCATCAAAAAACCTGATGTTGACGTTAGAGTCAGATGACGGTGGGGGTAGGAGACGAGGTGCTGGCACTTGATCAGTGATAAAAGGAAAGGAGTCCTCATTGAAGGTCGCATTGTGAGTAATAATGATCTTCTCGGATTTGATGTCGTAAATGCAATAGTTGAAGTTATCCTCCTCAAACCCAACTAGGACACCTCGTGAGCTTACTGGACCAAACTTGGAGCTTCGCATTTCCTTTCTGATCAAAGAGTATGCTAGACATCCGAAGATTCTAAGATGGTTGACTGAAGGCTTTCGGAAGTGCCAGGCCTCAAACGGAGTTTTGTTGTCACTCAAGGCCATCGTTACGGTCCTGTTGGTCAGGAAAACAGCTGTGTGGCATGCTTGGACCCAGAATCGAAGAGGTGTACCAGCCTCAATCATCATTGATCTTGCCTTGGTGCTTATGGTGCGGTTTCCGCGTTCAGACACTCCGTTCTCTTCCGGTGTGTGAGCAGCTGTCAGATGAAGAGTGATACCTCGTTGCCTTAATTCAGTTCCCAGGAGGTCGTTCAAAAACTCACCTCCTCTGTCGAGGGTGAATTGCTTCAGCATTTTACATGTTTGTCTTTCAGCAAGGGCAATGTAGGCTTTGAAAATCTCGAAGACGGTTTCTTTGGTTTTGTCTTTCATAAAATAGATGTGTCGATACGATGAGAAGTCATCACAGAAGAGTGCGTAATACATTTCATTTTTAATTCCTTTCACTCTGATGATACCGCTTAAATCAACATGCACGTTCTCAAGGTGTCGAGAAGCTCTAGGTCAAGTGGAAGAATGTGGGATTTTGTGATTCTTAGAGAGGGAACAGGTTTCACATTCAACTAGTTGAGAAAGATTTTTAGATAGACCAGTAACACTTTTATGATTACACATCAATTTCAGGTATCGATTACTTAGATGGCCTAGACGTCGGTGTTGCAAATGAGTAGCTGATTCAGTCGACGTGGCGTTTGACGTTGAGGCAGCGATGGGACTCACGGGATCGAGAGAGACATACATCAAGTTGTTCGAAGCAAAGACTCCATTGAATAGAGCTTCACCATTGAACACAAGAGAGAAGCAGTTGGCGTCATTTGGGTGTATGAGTACTTGAACACCTTTCTTGAGCATAGCTCCGCCGGCGAGTAAGTTCTGAGCCAAATCAGGGACATATAAGCTGTTGTTGAGCTCAAACATTTTTCCAGATCCGGATTTGAGTTGAACTGTTCCCGTGGAATGAACAGCAAGGGAAGCATCCCCACCGGCTAGTTTGAGGCGTTTCGATGAATCGTCAACTTCAACCATAGAATCAGGCAGAAACAGGGAGCTACTCTTGAACATGTAGTGAGTCGCTCCTGTGTCGTACAAGGCCCAATGACCACCGCCGTCGTTGACTACGTTGGATGCCGGGGTTTCTTCATCAAATACAGTGTGAGACGATTCGAAAGTGGCTGAGGCGGAGGCTGAAGCAGAGATGTTGTCCATATTCATCCCATCTAGGTAGATGTGAAGAGAGGCAAAGGGGTTGTGGGAGGCTACAGCTAAGCTGGCCAATGGCAGAGTGAGTTGCTTAATTCTGGTGACATTTGTAGACGTAGATGATTGAGTCCGATTGACATGACTTCCGTTTCTCTTGGCTTCCATTTGAGCAATCCAAATGTTCCTGGCAGCGTGATTTTTGGGCTTCGCAAAACACTTGTCGTCGTCGTGAGTAGTGGAAATACACTTGTGTTCAGTGCATCTAGGTTTGTTGCGACGAGGATTTCCTCCACCAGAGTGGGCAGCAGATGCAGAGTAGTTCGTTTGACTAGCTTCGATGAGAGCAGGGGTTGTGAACCCTCCGTTTCGAGCTTCGTAGTCGATTAGATATTGAACCACTCCTTCCCGTGTTAGAGGCACCACGTTGTTGTAGATGTTCTCAGATACGTTTTCATTGATCCGGGACTTGACAGTTTTAATGAGCTTTCGAGCGGCTGAAGATGATGAGATTCGTCCTCTGTACTTAACGAAGTCAGCAATAAGATTGTTGAACTTATCACAGTGAACTTTGAACGAGTCGGTGTTTAGGATCTTCATGTCGCTAATGGCATCCTCAATCGTCTGTAACCCAGCCTCAGATATCTTTTGATGATGGTTTTTGAGGTAGGTCCAGATGAGTGAAGGTTCATACACAATATCTTCATCTTCGTCATCGATATCATCTCCGTAGGCATCATTGTCGTCAGTCATGTCGGTACTTCGAAGCTTCAGCATAGTTTGAACTTGAGTCTTGTTGTGACTATCCATTAGTCCAATCATCCAGATGGAAATAACGAGTTTCACTTTCAGGTGTTGCTCGTCATTCAGAGAGGGATCCTTGAAGTCTATCTTTGAGAGATAGTTTTGATAGTCAATAGAGATTAGGACTCTCCTGACTTCCAAGGCCCATTCCGGGAAGTTACCATCCGTAAGTTTGGTATCCAAACCATACTTTGCCAGTACCGAGTTCAGTTTTTGGACAAATTGTTGAAGGGGAGTTCCAAACGCTTTAGCATCTTCCTTCTCAGGCATATTGTGACGCTTAGAAAGTTCAGATGGAGAGTTAGGAGTTTCGGTAAAGGTATCTGAAGTGTCCGATAGATTATCCTCGGAGTCGGTGTGGATAGGATCAGGAGATGATGCAGAAGGCGGAAGTGACATAAACTTCTTCGACGAGATTGATTTGTAATACGAGGTGAGATTGGTCGGATCTTTATTACTCTCGCTACCATGAAATGCTTCGATGTGGATTGAGTATCTACACTAAAGAGCAAAGGGACGAAAACCTGGACAGACAGGTTATCTTATGAGCTCTAGGAGAACTCGACAAAGAAGTAGATGGCGGAAAGAGTTCGACGCCTTACCTGGACAGACAGGTTATCTTATGAGCTCTAGGAGAACTCGACAAAGAAGTAGATGGCGGAAAGAGTTCGACGCCTTACCTGCAATAAGGCAGGAAACAAAAAGAAAGAGAGTCTGAGTTGATCTCGTTCCTAACGGTCTATTTCAAGATAAAGCACTACTAAAGTAAGAGAAAAGAAAACTAAGTTTTACCTGGACAGACAGGTTATCTTATGAGCTCTAGGAGAACTCGACAAAGAAGTAGATGGCGGAAAGAGTTCGACGCCTTACCTGCAATAAGGCAGGAAACAAAAAGAAAGAGAGCTATCCTAGAGATATGAGTAATGCTCAGTAAAAAGAAAGATGAAGAGAAAAGAAACGCTTACTCTGAGTTGATCTCGTTCCTAACGGTGAGGAACAATCTCAGAGCTCGAGAGAGGCACAGTATATGAGTAAGAAAACAAATGTGAAAAATTCAGACAAAGCAACGAGACTAGACCAAAAAGGGAATGCCCACACGGGTGAACAGAAGACACAACATCATTCATCCCAGAAGGGATACATTAAACTACATCTAATCCTGTGACGCTCCTGAATACATTCCTTCTTTCCCAGTTGGATCATGACTACCTAACATCAAACACTACCTTAAATCCAAGCACAGTCTCGTAGCTTTCAGTACTGAGAGCTCACGCACGTACACAAGAGAGTGAGTTCGATATGGTGATGGACTTGAACACTTTTGTCCCTTTTTATCACAACAAAAGTGCCCGTACCAGTTACACCTCGATACATTACTTGATCCAAAGTAAGGTGGCATAAATGCGACATGTTCGCGGTAGCTATGTTCTTGTTTGACAATCTTCTTAAATAGCTCTGAGTGAATGGAAAGCTTAAATGTAAAGACTGTGAGATCTAGAACTCGTCGAAGCAGGGATGACTGAAGCCGTATGAAATGAGCGACACCTGGGGTAATCAGGCGCGATGTGAGCTATACGGCAACAAGCCAAACAAAAGCTTCGAGGAGCTTAGAACAACTAAAAACACACCTGGGGTAATCAGGCGCGATGTGAGCTATACGGCAACAAGCCAAACAAAAGCTTCGAGGAGCTTAGAACAACTAAAAACACACCTGTGCGTAAAGCAACAGGTAAAAGTTATGAGGTACGAGGTCGGAGAAAAGTAAGCAAAAGCAAAGATAAAGTTCCTTTCCGATGATAATGAATATACTAACCTGGGGTAATCAGGCGCGATGTGAGCTATACGGCAACAAGCCAAACAAAAGCTTCGAGGAGCTTAGAACAACTAAAAACACACCTAAACATGCGCACACAGATTAGTAAGTAGTAGAAAAAGAGAAAAAGATAATCAGAGAAATAGGACAAACCTGTGCGTAAAGCAACAGGTAAAAGTTATGAGGTACGAGGTCGGAGAAAAGTAAGCAAAAGCAAAGATAACTGAAGAAATAGATGTAGTTTGGAGTTGTAGTCAGATATGAGTTTGTAATAGAGTAAGATAAAAGATAAAACACTTACAGTTCCTTTCCGATGAGGAAAGGAACTGGGAGGAACAACTCGATAGTATATATGAAAAGTAAAAAAACACACTAATAAACACACCACGGACATAAGAAAAAGAAATACGCAGGTCACAAGCGACCTATTCCCAAAGCACACACGAAAACTCCAAATCAAACCCAGACTTCACTTAAACAACCTCATACGTCTCAATTCTTTATTCATTCGATCTTCTTTAGTAATCATTAATAAAGCTTTGATCACGACTTTAAGTCCTTGACGAGTAGAGTTAAATGAAACATTACCAAACCAAATCCACCTGAGTGTCTACCTTAAAGAAAAATTAAAAAGAACTACGTGGGATGTTGAATACCACGACAAAGACCTGTATACTACATGTTGAATTGTCGCTGCCCAGGTTCGTCCTAGTAATCGTAACTTGAGTAAGTCCACAACTGATTTTTGGTTCAAAAATTTCACTTCAGCACTATTGTATACATCGATTGCCAAGTATGATTTTTCATCACAGATATACGATATGATCTGTTCAATGATTTCCACAGGAAGGCCTGGCAATGAAGACATGGTGTTCAGCATGGGTCATGGATTCATGTCGAAAGAGGTAGGCAATAACTCTTATAAGACTCCTCCTCCATCACTACTTTATCACTACTTTATCCACAGAAATCAGGAGGTTATAGATATATAGATTAATTCGGGTAACCCAATCTCCTGGTAATCACCCATTTCATTGATATTAATCTATACATTAAATTGCTCATACACGATTCCAGCTGAACCCGAGTTCCGAGCTTGGTTGATCAGTTGATTTTGGGATTCTTTCCACCAATTAATATACAATCAGCGTAATATATATATTATATTCGACACTCATACTTTTCCAGACTTACATTCCTCCCTGCTCGAGCCGCTGAGCTGGCAAACCTCTCACACAGCATCATAAATTATGTCGAGCTCAAATTTTCCCAAGTCCCAGTCATATTGGGCGTAGGGTGCCCTCCCTCCAACCTCTGGTGGTTTCAATACGCAGGCACCTTTTCTCTGTCGCCATACCTGCAGAACATTAAACATGGCTAGTGTTATTATAAATACTCTATTAGCAATCAAACAAGCCTACCGCAATCAGAAAAACTACCCTTGATGACTTGGCACAATGGTTGATCTTTGTTCGTGCTCATCCACAATGATGCTGTTGGACTCCCGTAATATGGATTGCAGAACTGTACCAAATTGATACTCTACAAGTTATATCATGGTTGCTTTAATAGCGCAGCCTCACATTATTACTTAACACAAAGCACAAGTTAATCAATATCTATGCAAATGACAACATACTGCAAGAGTTCAGGGATGAAATTTCTAAGGCAGTTTGCTGAGTAACAGTGTCTTGAATTCAAAACTTGGAATGCCTCTTAACTCGAAAGAATAAAACAACCTTTAGCTGAGATCCTAATCAAAGATTGAACCAAATAACAAGATTTCAATTATACCTTGACACTCCACATCTTTTCGTTGCTCGACTCCACTATTTTACTAAAGGATTATAGTCTAACAAATGACTTTCATCAAAATCAGGAAGTCGATTAGGAACAAAAGCAAACAATTTCTTTTTGCGCAGGTAGATAATTGACGCTAAGTGCATTAAGTTTGTACTCCCTTTTCTGTCCTTCGCTCATTCAACTGAATTCTGTAACCATCTTCATTACTCCTACCTAAATGTATAATATTAGGAAACGGTCTGAATTCGAATATGTTGAATTTTGAACTACTTACGCAATCTCCATAACTTCTGCCGGCCAGCAGTTTTTTACTACTTATTAGTCAAAAGTTGCTTCATGACATCAATCAGAATATTAGTTCCAAATTTTAGCTGAAAAGATTTAAACACTCGTTAATAGTACTCACCAACATGTCTTTATGTGTCATCTCCGATACAAAGTCGCATCTAATTCCATAACTTTTGAGCATATTTTCTAACTCTGAGTCTTGAGTTAAATCATCATCTCCTGTTACAAAGATGAATTTTTTCAATTTGACCGCTTCCTTCAGATGAGGTCCCCCGGGTGTCCTTAAAAATCTTTTCCAGTAAGCCTTATCGTCACGGTAGTCCACGATGAAGACCTCAATCGTATTAAACAATGCCCAGTCAAACCAAACTGGATGGTGGCGGAAGTAGCTGATCTGTTTACAATGTATGATTCGCAGGTTGGGAATGCCTCCGATGCGGATTGAGCGAGGGAGATCAATTGGGATGGTATTGACAGTTAAGGCCTCGAGTGTATTGCGGAGTGTCAGAAGTAAAATTCTTGAGTCTTCACGTCGATTGGTAGGTTCATATTCCAAAAGTTTTATAGGTTTCGGATCGTGTCGGCAAAGTTGAATAAATGCGTGTAAATTGTATCGATGGCACGCGATCCAAAAGTGTGATAAGTTGCTTAGAGACCCAGGTTTCAAATTCAAACGGGGCAAAGCTCCTAATCTCAAGGATAAAGACTCCAAAAAAGGACTTTTTTCAAGGACAACAGATAAAGATTCAGCGTCGTTGAAGATTTCGCCCAACATCGTTCCATCAATCAATAAGGTCTTGAGTTTTTTTATACGTCCAATTGCCACTATCATACTATCAGAAAATCCGACCGAACGAGCAAACATCAACTTCAATTCAATCAGTCTCGAGCCACATAAGCTTATGACTTCAGCTGCATCTGGCATGAGGATGTAGTTTGGTTCCCAACGACTGTATTCGAGCTCGAATTGGTCACTGCATTCATCTGATAACCCCATATGGTACCCATCTGCCTTCGAAGCTGGTATATATAGGAGTTGATCTAAGCAAAGCCGACGTAAGTTTGCCAGATTTGACACAAACAAGTAGTTATTCCACATTCTGACGGCATACTGATTGAAAAATGGTTTTTTTAGATACAGGGATGAGTATATAAATGTTGGAATCGCTGCTGCCCAAGCCCTAGCTAACAATCGAAGTTTAAGCAGATCGACGAAGGTTTGGTGGGTTAAAAAAGGTTGATCCGCACTATTCATTTCCTCGGTGGGTGTTGACGGAGACATAATGCATAGAAAACTGATAATTCGCTCCACTACTTCTACCGGGAGTGGATGCAATGAAGGCATCGCGTGATTTGCTATAGTAATCTTAATCTTTAAAATCTTTAAAATCTTGACTTGATGGGACTCAATTATCTTGACTGGAATACCAAAATCGCTTGTAGAAGACTCTGCTACGTTATATACAAAACATTCAAGTTAGATGACCAATGCGAATTCTCGTTTTCATACCTGCTTCGAGAATCCACTATCATTTTACATTTGATTGTGACTCAAAGCATTCAATATCAGTACATCCAGAATTTCTCTTCATATGCGAATACTCAACCCCCAAATCAACCATTGTCAACCATTGAATTGTAGTTTGCTTGGTGTCTTTTTCCACAGCGAAGCGTGTAAACTAAGGTCATAATCAATTAACATACTCATACCATTTATTACGCTGATTGATCCGCTGAATCAATTTGGCATTGCAAAGTCATTTTCTTTATTATGAGCAAGTCTATACGCCTTTATTATGATCTTGGAAATTTGCCGCGAAATACTATATCCAACAGAGTAGGGTAATTATACAAAAACTACTCGCCTTCTAGCGAATTGCCTTGGTAAACCAAGCGATAACCTCAACTTACACATATCTCATAGGATATGCCGGCAATTGGCGAGACCCATTTTCCGGAAAGGTATATTTATTCATATTCGTTTTAAAGGGTGAATTACTTTCAAATTCAGAATTGTGGAGCCTTTACGCCTCCGGAATATACATTCACACATACATGATCCTTTTATTCCTTTATTTATTTTGCTGGATAATGAATATATTTTGATTTACTAATTAATCAACATGAATACCAATTTTTAGTAGTTTTGATGTCATTCATTAATTGATTGATATCAGGAATTCAAACCCTTCTTCTATTCCCAGCTACCCTCATATAATCTTTATACGTGGCTTACTATACTTAGGATATTGCCCTATTCTTCATTGCATCTCCAAATTTTCATATGATTGGTTTTCGCGTATTTAAGTTGGTTATTATTATACCAAAGCGCATTGGTAGAAAGCTAACTCGCTGTTATGGAATTGACAAATTTCCGGACTTCCTATATTACCCACGAGAATCAATTTATAACTATTGAAATGAATCACGATTTTGTTTGGTTCCGCAAGTAAATTCAATGCTCACAACATTATCAATAGCGTTGGAAATTACAAAGTTGTAATTTGTTGTACTTAGCGTTTATGCTTGCATTTCCAAAAGCTCTAGTTATTCCTCAATGCTTCACATTCAATATACTTTTATTAATTGTGCTTGATGGTCACCTTCAAAGCAATCCAACCCAACTATCCCTCCAATCAACATGAGTTTGTAAGATTAACTTTATATCTTATAATATCCCTATGTGATCAATCTGCGAATAACACCGAAGATAATATCTTACACCGTTATTCATAAATTCAGCAATACATTAGTCACAGGGAAGAGGCGTAACTTGCTTAACTGGCAGACCAAAGTGCATATTCCAAGTCCGTTAAATTGATGACTTTCACAGTATCCATTACTCGGATGTTAGACATACTTTGTCGTACACGTTATGAACAAGTATTCAGATCAAATAAAATTCTGACCCTATGATGGTAAGCAAGGACGGAAGACTTTTAATCTAATGTCATATTCATAGAAACTCGAACTTTGTGTGATAACTACTGCAAATAACAAAAATTCAAAGAAATGTACATGGTTTGTATAGAGATGACTTTAGCTTAGCAGTTACGTTCTGTAACATAACCCATTTCCTACAAAGCTTTGCAGATTTGATAGCAAAGGGCATTCGTTACAACTATGGAACATTATAATAAAATCGCAAACCAGTGCGTTGGTTATTTTGTGAGTCCTTTGCTAGGCAGATTTGTTACATAGCCGGACAGCACATCAATTTTCGTCTAAGGCCAGCAGACGAAATCCGAAGATAAGAAAATGGCTTCCCAGCTTTTGGGAGTTATTTGGACTCACGGTGGTGAAGATTAGCTTGCTCTGGCACGAAATTATCCACGAAGCCCGCAGTATCTTCTTAAACTCTCGGATGAATGGCAGTTTTATGCGATTGTATTTAATGTGCTTGTACCCAAATACAATTTTCAACAGCGTAGAATTACAGAACTTTTGCAAGCTTTGCTTCTAGATTACAACAGTCAAAACAGATTCAGTGGCGTATAGATTTAAAGTTGAACTTTGACATTTTCTTCTCTTGCTAATATTTGCTTTTCAATTTAAAATTGTCTCCCCGAGTCAAGTTGATTAAATTAGCTTGATCATTCTAGCATTGTTTGTGACGGTGAAACACACTAAATATTTGTAGTTTCTTGTGCAGAGGTTAATTCCTTTTCGAACTGTTATTTGTTACTTACAGATTTACACTTCTCACGTCAAGTCAAAATATAATACTAATTGCGAAGGATAGGGTGGAAAACAATATTCGTCGTAGCAAGTTCATTTGTATTTGACGTGATGCAAACTGTCACGTTTGAGGCATTTGTGCATCTCGATAATGCAACGTATAATTGGCCATGAGAGAAAACCAGCTTTGGTAGCAGAACTGTTACTCGCTCCAAGCTTTGGCCTTGGCTCCTGTTAACTGTCATGCAGAAAGCTGGTGTTATTGGGAACTGATAGCGGTAAAAGGGGATTGGACATTCTTCGTTACCTTCGTGTTTTAACTTGATTTTAGGTAGACTTATCGACATTCCCTTTGTATTCCCTGTTAGAACTCGACATTGTAAAGCATTTGGGCTATAATCCGTTATTAGTAGTCGTGTTCCATTGCATAAGCCATTTGATAAGTTCAGGTTTCTCATGATCATGACTGAAGCACCGACTTTCAGTTTTAATTTGTGTGATGGGAAACCAGGAAAGTTCAAAGTGTTCAACACGTCCGCTGTGACTGGGTCGACAAAACTCTCATCCATCAAGTCGATTGATGTTGAAGTATGGGCTGTGCCTGGTAGGCTATTCATAACTCGGCGGTTGACCAAGTTGACAGTTGTGTTCAAGGGTGTAATAAGACACCGGTCCGAGTAAAAAGTCGTGAGCCTTACCCAGTTCCTTTGCAGGATAAGTTCCTCAACTCCGGTGTACTCTGCTTCTAAAAGTGGCTCATCGTAAAGAGACGGTGGTCTGACAATTGTGACATTGCAGTAATTTAAGGGGGTTGATGCTACGTGGTCTTGTTGAAGTTGACCAGAGCCTAGGTCCAATAGCCACCGTGCGAAAGCCACATTCGCTGGATTCGGGTTGCAGAAATG